GTTCCCCCACGAGTCCCCGCGTCCCCACCCTCGCCCGGCCGGCTCTCCCCCCCCCAGTCCCCCAGGGTCCCCCACCCTGCCGGCTCCCTGCGCCCCCCTTCTGCACCCCCCAGGGTCCCCGCGTCCCCACGCATTTGCTGGGTTATCTCCCTCCCTTCTTTATGCCCCTGTCAGCTCCATCCAGCCTGACCCTTCCCCCCGGGCCATTGGCTCGGGTCAGTGATGGGGGTGCAAGGTCCCCCGGGCTCCCCCCTCTGGCTCCGCGCAGCAAGGGCTGGGGGGGACCTACTGGCCGCAGAGTGTCACACGTTCCGGGGGGGGCGGCCCCAGGGGGATGCGACCGAGGGGCGAACTTCTCCCCAGAGAGGCCCGGCGCAACTCCCCAGTTTGCCTGGCATCCCTCCCCGCTCCCCCTCCAGCAAAGCCGCATCCGGGGGCACCGGCCGCGCTCCGCGCCAACCCGGCAAGGAAAGGGGGGAGGGCGCAGCCCTGTGTCCCCCCAAACGGCCGGGAAACCGAGCTCCCGGAGCCGGCCCCCCGGCCGGGGCAACGCCAGGGCGCACGCACCTCTCCAAGCGGCTCCCTCCCCGAGCTGCCCGGGACCAGGGCGGGGCAGATTTTAGGTGCCCCCCCCCGACTTGGCCGCGGCCTCCCCGTTGCAGTGTCCCCGGGGGCTCCGTGGGACGGGCTCTGCCGCCCCCTCACCTTGGAGATCCGCTTCAGCGCCGAGACGGCGTGGGCGCAGCCGGCTCCCCGGCCGGGCGGAGCTGAGCTCGGAGCGCGCTCTCCAAAGCGGGGCTCCGAGGCCATGGTCCGGCTCCAGCGGGGGTCGAGCGAGGGCGGGCGGGGACGGCGGAACGGCGAGGGCGGTAATCCAGGGGGCAGCGGGCAGCATCCGAGGGCTCCGCTCTGCTCCGGGGAATCCCTTCCAACATTATGTGGCCAGCCCCGGGGCCATGCGAGCGGGCCCCGTGCGCCCTCCGGCTGGGCTGTGCACTAACGCGGCGTCTTGGAGAGCACCGGGGTGCGGCGGGGGGCACCCACAGTGGAGCCACACGCGCGGGGAAAACCCCCTCCGAGCCGGCGGCAGCAGCCGATCGTCAACTCTCCCCCGTGCGCCTCGGATCCTGTCCCACCAACATTGGGAGCGAGCCGCAGCCTCCCTTCCAGATCATGAAGGGGGGGGGGGTGGTGATGGGAAAGCGCTCCGGTTCCCATTGGCTAAGGAAGAGGCAAATTACTTTGCAAACATCTCCTATTATTAGCTGCTAAGCAACAGCTCACCAAAGTGGAGACGAGGGAAGACCACCCAAGCAGCCCCCCTCGCTCCCTCCCTCCCGCAAATCAATGAGGGAGAGACTGGAGGGAGCGGAGAAGAAAAAAACTTCACTAAACACAGGAATTCTGCTCCAGAGCCTTTCAAATGCTCCAGCCTTCCCCAGCTCCTGGCCTGCCTCTTTTATTTATTATTGCAAGCGGACATGGCCCCATTGAGACAGCTGCAAACTGTCCCTTGCAAGGAGGGGAAGGGGAAAAAACAAACACCCCCCCCTTAAACTGGAACAGGGAGAATTTCAAAGGGGGGGGGTTGAAAGAGCCCCTGGGCTTGGCATTGGAGTATAATTGATTTCAAAAAGAAACACTAGAAAAGTTGCAACAAACCAGGGCAAACAGAAACCCAAGCGACTCTCCCGCTCCCAACGGCCTGGGCGAGGGGGTGGCTCAGCCAAGCCACGGGCCCAGGCCCGGGGGCAAAGCTGGCTGGGTTTTTTGGGAGTTTTGCAGGCAATTGAGGGGCACAGACCCTCTGGCTCAAGGAAACTCAGCACCCCACTTGCAAGTGGTTCTGGTGGGAAAATGGACTATAGGACTCCCGGGTCCCCCTCCCCCTCACTCCCTGCTCAGGGAAAGTGGGGGGCTGCCCCCTCTACGGACGGATCCTTTGCAAAGCCTCCAGCACCCACTAGGAGAGTGAGTCCTTGTCCCCAGCCCACTGGAGTAATAGCAGTCCCTGCCCCCCCAGCCTCCCCAGCCATTAGGGTGGGAAAGCCAGAGGCTGCACCATGCAAAGCAG